AAAAAAAAAAAAATTGTATAATTAGTTATTAGATTTTGAGTTTATATTAATATAATTAAATTTAATTTGACGAAAAGTAGGAGAGATATACTGTGAATTATTTAGTAGTTAAAATTTATGCGAGTGGACGAACAATGAATTAAAATTGATGTAATGTTTAAGCAACTATATGATTTATTTTATACCTTTTAATTTGTAGAACCTCAACAGTGAGTTACTGCAGGTCGAAGCCTGTTCATATGCAACCAACCCTCGACTACAACTAAAAAGTGTTCATCTCCTACCTTATTTTGACCAATATAGTGTCTTTATTTGTTATCTTTGTACTATTAATTATTGGCAAGTAATTGTTACTTATCTTGCTCAGTTGGTGTGATGTATGGGCAAATATTAGTGCTTATATCTTCCCAGTTGTTCATATGTACTTTATGTATGATATCATCCTTCACATCAAGCACGAGGCTCTAAATTTTCATCGAAGTATTTTCTTATGTTTTCTGATATAATGACCAGCTTGTCGTTTTGAAGGAGGTATAAAGTATATAAAAGTTGCTGGTCTGTCTGATATACCATAGCATACTGCTCTATCGATAATATAAAAATAATGAAAAGTTACATGTCATCAAGCTCTGATGAAAATTGAGAAGATTTTATCTTACATTGTGTCACCTGCTGATGAAGTAAAACTTAATCTAATTGAAATGAGATAACACAGTATGTTTGATGTTAACTTCTGCTTTAAAATTAATTAGAGTTTACATGCTCAATTTTGGAGTGTTTATTGATTCAGTGCATAAGAAATATATACAATTATGAATATGACACACTTTCAAAATTGTTAATGTGTCGTGAAACTATTCTGTGATCACATCGGTGCGTACATATAAAGAAGATAATGAAGCACCCCGAAGATTTAAACGAGGATTGAATCCCTCAACCATCTCGGACTTATATTATCAAACGAAGTTTGTCCTTTTATCGTTTTTCCCAGATTCGGGTTCGACAGTTCCTATTTTTAATGATTTAATATATATGTATGATAAATAGAATACATAGAGCAGGTTGTGAATGAACAAAGCTCTGAAGTTGAGACTCAGGTAGAGCAGGTGTGGATACTTCGAAGTCAACATTCAGGTCCAGCAAGTTGGTCCCCCGAAATACGAGGACAAGAAAAGCATGAACAAAGTGGTTAGCCATCTCGTACAAGCCGTAGATGAATTCAAACATGAGGTTGCATTTCGGTGTTCTTTAATTCACAGAAGAAGGTATGGTTGATGCACTTTGGAGTTTTGTTGTTTTTTGGTGTTGCAATATATATCATTAAAAAAAAAAAATCTTTTTTGCAGCTCGAGGCTTTGATGGAGGAGAAATATGGGCTTTGACGGAAGAGAAATATGAGCTGGTCAGGAAGTTGGAGTTTGACGAGGGACAAGGTGCAACTGTAAGTTTAAATTACAATTGAATTTTGGTATATTAATTTGCATTTGTTTACCTAGGTCATATTCTTAAAAAATGCAACCATCACTCGAAAAAATCTCTATCACGTGCCTACATGTGTTGGCAAATGAGCGCCTCTGTTTCTGATACATGGTTTCGGAAGTGGTTATTTTTGTCGGATTGGTATATCCCGAGTTATAGAAACGTCATTTATGTGTCCAAGTGCATTTCTGGACGGAGTAGTAGAAATGAGAATATGATTGTGAATGCTGATGTTTGAAGCTTTCATAGTATAGAGTTTGAACACAAAGTTGCATTTCTGGCTGCTTATTTCCAGCAAAACCATTATTGTAGAGTTATAGAATGAGATATTGGCTGCATGGCCAAAATTTTGTGATGTACAGTATGTCCATACAAAACAACTTGATACAAACAAAATCTTTTGTCGTTTATTGGATATTAGTTTGCATTCTGAGATCTTCTTTAATTTGTTGATTTATTGATATTACAATTTTTACATGGCACATGCCACATGATTACGAATTTTCCAAAATATATGCATCTAACATTAGATTTCTATTCACACAATCAAATACAAACATTTACAAATTAATTAGTACTCACGTATTTTTTAATTTATATATTACTCACATATTTTAATTGAGACAATTTTCAACCTCAAATTGGGCCGGTTATGCAAAAACTAGTATATACAAATGAAAACCGGTATCCATCCTCATAAATGCATATATTAGACTGCAGCAATTTATTCCATTTATCAACATATGTTTCAATTCAGTGTTTCCTTCTATTGAATGATTTATAATGAAGAAAAAAAAAATCCCATCATGTCAAATAATACTAGTGAGAATTTATAATAATGTCTAAGAGTCCCTGAAATCCTAGATGTTTGTTTGTAACATATTGAAAAAAAA